ACCCGCAGACACACACTGGTTCGCATCAACAAAAAAATCTAAATCCTAAACACAACCTAAACAAAACAATACTATAACCTTAATATAACACCGAAATAAACATGGGTAAAAGATGTCCTTCCCATTACGTCACCCTCCCGACCTTGGTCATCTTCTTCCAATCTTAAATGACCCCTTTTTACTTTTTCGCCCTAGTCCAGGAACCCTGGATTCACCAAGAAAGGGTGAGTGGACTAGGCATGAAAAGCTTTAAGCTATTGTACGCAAAAGGATCTGGTAAGATTCGATCCTGTATAGTAGCCAAAAGCAGTCTCAACATCTTCATTCTTTCTGATTTCAGTGATGAAGACACCGTAGCAGCCATATGGGAGACCAGTGTAGGTGCTATATTGGTTATCTCGGCGTACATGGCTCACGACCACAGCGACCAGCCACCGAACAACCTGGTCTGCAGATCCATAGAGATGGCAAACTCGAAAAGCATTCCGATCATCATGGGGGCTGATGCCAATGCCCATCACACTGTCTGGGGAAGCTCGGACATAAACGCTAGAGGTGAGTCAATCTTTAACTTCATTCTAAGCAATAATCTTGATATTTTAAATACAGGATCCGAACCGACCTTTATTGTTTCAAACAGAAGGGAAGTTCTTGACATTACGCTGGTTAGTTCTATGCATCATAGGATAAGGGGATGGAGAGTCTCAAGTGACTGCTCTTTCTCTGACCATCAGTACATCGATTTTGAAATCGTAGTTGACAAAGTGGCCCCAAAGCCCTTTATAAACAGGAGACGAACAGATTGGGAAATGCAAATGGGGCTAATCTCACGTTCACTCCAGGATGTACCGATCATCGAAAACCGATCGGACATAGAAAACGCGGTTGAAACCATAAATCAAGCTTTCAAACACGCGACTTCACTGTCTTGTAAACAGAATATGCACAAAGGCAGATGCAGGCCCCCATGGTGGTCTGCGGACATTGCGAAATCTCGAAAAGAGACGCGCAGACTGTTTAACGAGGCAAAGAAAACAGGAAACTGGATTTCTTACAAGACCTCGGTTAATCGTTTCAAGAACCTGGTAAGAAATGCAAAGCGCAAATCTTGGAAAACCTTCTGTAGCGGCGTGGAAGGTTCTTCTGAGACCAGTCGTCTGCGCAAAATCTTATCATCTACTCCTCCTGTCCCAAGTTTCATTCAGAAACCTTGTGGCAGTTGGACGACCAGCAGCCAAGAAACCTTAGAAGTTTTAATGGCCACTCACTTTCCAGGCTGTCAATCTCCGGAAAACGGGACTGACATGCAGTTTACAGATCTCCCAGCTGATACAGGAATATCCATAAATGAAGATAAGATCAACTGGGCGATAAATAGCTTCGACCCCTACAAATCACCGGGTCCTGACGGTATAATACCTGCGGATTTGCAATACAATGCTGTCCATCTTATGCCTTGGCTAACGCGGATATATGATGCCTGTTTAAAATGGTCTTATATACCCGAACCCTGGACCAAATGCACAGTGGTCTTCATTCCGAAAGGAGGAAAGACCTCTCACACGAAGCCAAAGGATTTTAGACCAATTAGTCTATCCTCCTTTCTTCTCAAAACTTTGGAAAGGATAATTGATCTGCATCTCAGAATACATATCAAACCTGACCATCTATCAGCATCTCAACATGCCTACATGAAGGGAAAATCTGTTGAGACTGCATTACATTCGCTAGTTTGTCACATTGAAAAGACAATAGCGCAAGGGGAATATACACTTGTTGCCTTCTTGGACATCGAGGGGGCTTTCAACAATGTTCACCCTGGGTCGATAACAACGGCCCTAACTGGCCTGGGTATAAACCAACCAATAACAGCTTTCATCAAGAGATTACTGACTCAACGAATCATTATCTCCGAAATGGGAGCAGCAAATGTCACAAAAGTGGCAAATCGCGGTACACCACAAGGTGGAGTTCTATCTCCACTTCTGTGGAACCTAGCGTTGAACCCACTTCTTATGGATCTTAGATCTATGGGATTTAAGGTAATAGCATATGCAGACGATGTGTCTGTAGTAGTATCTGGCAAATATCTGGATACTTTATCGAAAAGGATGGAGATTGCACTCAAGACACTCAGTACGTGGAGCAACGTCAGTGGCCTTGGTGTAAATCCATCGAAAACGGAACTTGTTCTCTTCACTAAGAAGTACAAGATACCCACCTTCACTCTCCCACGACTGAATGGGATAGAATTGAAGTTATCGGATAGTGCTAAATATCTGGGAGTAATCCTAGATTCAAAATTATCATGGCATTTGAACACTCAATCTAGAGTATCAAAAGCGGCTGCGGCCTTATACTCGTGTAAGAGAGCAATTGGCAAATCATGGGGCATAAACCCCAAGAATACCAAATGGCTCTTCGACATGGTAGTCAAGCCCATACTATTGTACGGTGCACTTGTATGGTGGAAGTCTGTACAAAAGGACTCACACCGCAAACGTTTTGAGGGAATCCTTCGTACATCAGCTCTGTTGATAACGGGGGCTCTCCGCACCACCCCATCAAAGGCTCTCTTTGTCATGATGGGATGGCTACCTATTGATATAATGGCCCAAGAGGTTGCCCTCAACGCGGCTATTAGACTCAATACAATTGGTATGTGGCATATGATTCAGTCAGGTCACTCCACCATTCTCAATTGTCTAGGAGAGATTCCTGACAATATCGACTATTGCATCGCCAAACCGTCTTTTGATAGAAGCTTTTCGGTGAATATCCGACACGATCCAAATGTGATGGAAACAATCCTCCATGACGGATCGTATAAGGTTTTCACTGATGGCTCAAAATCAAACCATGGTGTAGGCGGTGGCTTTTACATAGCACATTCGGGAACGGAAGTATCATTCAAGCTTCCTGACCAATGTAGCGTCCTTCAGGCTGAACTATCAGCCATTAAACGGGCTGCAAACTGGCTCAGGTTTTATCGAATATACGGTGCTAATATTCGAATTTATACCGACAGCCAGGCAGCCCTTAAGGTTCTAAGTGGTGTCTACACGACGTCAAACTTAGTCCTAGAATGCCGGGCATCCCATAACGAGGTGGCGAAACATTCCACAATAGGACTGTATTGGATTCCAGGACATCAGCAAATTCCTCGTAATACCATCGCGGACTCTCTTGCCAAGTTAGGCTCCTTGCAAGAGAGTATACCGACCCTTTTGTCGGTATACCGCTTTCAACCTGCAAACGCTCGATACGTGAAAAACTATATGAGCTTGCGCAATGCAGATGGTCGACTGAAGCCACCTGTAGACAGGCAAGGATCATGTGGCCATCTTACGACCCACAAAGATCCCAAGCCCTTTTCTACATTCCGAGAGTTAATCTACGGAACTTAACGGCAGTGGTAACTGGCCACTGGCCTTTCGGACTCCATGCAAGAAGACTGAACTTACCCAGTAACGACTTCTGCAGGAGCTGCCAGGATGAAGAGGAAGAAGAGAGTATAACTCACTTCCTCTGTCATTGTCCTGCCCTAGCTGATCACAGAATGGGTCTGCTAGGTAGCTATTTTCTGCATGACATAGCGGATCTATCGGAGGTTGATATCCGAAAGATAGATTCCTATATTCGTGCGACAAACTGGTTCAGTGGAAACCAGAGTGATTAGGTTGAAGTGTACTAATACGCCGACCGTTCTCTCTCGTTTCAGGTATCACAAAGGGATCAAAATACTGGACCCAAGTGTGTCCCCAGTGATGACATCGCGAGGACGACCTGCCTACCTAACCTAACCTAACCTACTACATCAGGTAATCACCCAGCTCATCATCCAAGACGGCCCACTGTACCTAACCTTCTTCTTCAATTTACCAACACATAATGTTCATTTCTTTTCTAAACAAATTTATTACAAATATACTTATACTAAACATAAACAAAATAAATAACTTATTAACTAATAAGTGGCTTAATATTTTAACAACAATTACCAATTTATCATTATCTATTTTGGGTTTAAAAAAAAATTTACAAATATATTATTCTTTATATTCACTTCCTCTGAAGTTTTAATCTCATTTCCGTTTATTATCTTTTTTTTATGCGAAAGCAAACATTTAAGTTGCTATAAACTTTTTCTTTTCATTAATTCTTCTGAATTTCATCAATATCTATCTGAATGGTTTTCTATAATCTTAATTTTCCATACTCCAGGGTTTAAAAAAAAATCAACAACAATTATTTATAATTCCCTGGAAGAATTCAAATATTATTGTCTCTTTTTTATACAAAGTTTTTAATCTTCTTTTCTATTTATATATTTTTTATCAAATCTCTATTTTGTAATTTTAAAACTAATCTTATGCTAAAACTTATCTATTAACATAAATCAAAATCACACACAATTTGACAAATTACTAAGGACCAGCTAATATCTTAGGTTTGGAGCCCTAAATCTGCTCCGACTTTAAATCTAAGATAAAATTTCCCAGCTATTCCCTGAAAGAGCTCTCTAAAGGATTTAAGGAATTTATCTATTTCTATACCCTTTACGGTTTTTTAAACTATATTTACCAATTTTCTACTAGTTCGATCCTTTTACAATTAACGAATATACCTTAACAGGAAACTAAAACAATTATTTTATTAAACTAATTAGCCTATATAACTTAATACTACCCTAATGCCACTTTACTATAATTTGATTTTATTATTGTCTTTTTAACAGGTTTAAATCTTGGATGCTATAATTTATATATTTTGGTACTGTATTAATTCTATTGTGTAGTGGAGTATATTAAAGTTTCAGTTTTCCCTTCAAAGATGGCCCTCTGGCGGTTTTTTTATAATTTATCCTGGACACACTAATTGACCGTAATTAAGTTTTCATTTTTGAAATATAGATGACACTGATGAACTTAAATTCGTCTTGGACAATATTTAATAAATGTAATCAAGTTTTTCTGTTTTTGACACATAGGTGTCCCTGATGATCCTAATCTTTTTGTTTCGTGACTTCATCGACAAACACTGCTTATTGTCTTATATCCACTGTGTTACCTGATTTTAAGTTGTTTGTTACCAGTTTTTATTCTTTTAAATAAGATTCTTCCAATATGACTCAAATGATAACCAAATCCCTTCAGGCTTGTAAGGATTCCTTGGGGCTTCTTATTGTCCTTTGGGCTTCTTATATTCCTTTGGAACGTCTCGACCACAGTTCCCATTCACTTCACTAGGCTCAACTTTCTTGTCTTATACATTTGTTTAAACTTTCTTTTTATTCTATATCTTTTTGTTTCTTTATTTTATTAACGTTTTATTAACTTTCAGTTTTACGCTTCCTTTATTGGCAACCGCCAAATCTCGACTACCTTTGTCTTTTCTTTTTTAAGTTTTCAAAATTAACTTCTTTTAACACAAAACCTAACTGAAAAACTCTACTAACAAAACTAATTAAAAAAATCGTTACCCTAACTGCAATTTAAACAAACAAAAAACTGTGCAAAAAAAATACTTGTTTAATAAGACCTATTTCAAAAACAATAAAGAAATGTACATACATTACAACTAAATTGCTGTATTAACGTTAAGGTTCAACGTACTTTCCTATCCGACACATATAAGAAAAACTTTCGTGAATTTTAAAGAGAAATTTTCACGAATTTTCTCTTTAATGCTGGAAACCCTGTTTTTGTTGTTGTCGTATTAAACCATACTGTCATCACATGCAACACTGCATTATCCCACGATCCACATTTTGACGTTTCTATTTTGACAACTAAATACCTATGATCACAAACATTAAATCAGACAACATAAACAAAACAATCAACTAAAACAAATTATAAATTCAAATTTATTTTAATTATTTAATAAACAATCATCGAACAAAACCAAGACAAGTGATAATTAAAACAAACTACAATAAAAAAAAACATGCAACAGTGCAATAAAACAATAAAACAATACAATCAGCATTCAGAAATAACAAGAAAACAAACTCCCCGGAAGAAACCGTGTATTGTCCACGAACCACCAACCAGATGCGATACCAAGACTATCCTCCTGAAAACTTCATACATCAAATCAATCTCAACAAAACTCTTTCATTCCCAGACCAGATGCAGGAATGATAGTGTGAGATTATGGAGGTAGTACTATGTAAGTATTTCGATTTATATTATGGAAGTGTGTTTCAATTTTGGCAATTCCATCGCCCAACGTAGGTCACACCGACGCAACTCTCCGTCTAGCTAGCCGGGCAACTTCAACCATCAATATTAGAGATATTTATCAAAATATCTTGAATGTTACTTTGTTCAAAATTTTACTATATTTCCGGTACTATATTACGCGTGCAGGTCCCATTACGAACAAATCTGCCCAGTTGGTTTTGTATAAGAATTGGAATAATACCCCAGCATATATCACAGAAGAATAACTTAACCTAATATTGCACATTTTCGTTATTGCACAGTAAGTTAAATTTATCTTCTATTATAATATATATTGCACTATTTCCCAATCCTTACTATTATAATTGACAACATTAATATTGGTATAATTAAAAAAAATATAATTAACACTCCGGACAAACGAAACACATCTTAATCTACTATTGCACATATATACATATATAATATGCTATATTAGCAAGTCAAAATGATCGTATCTATCCTAAAGGTCGAAATGTATTAAAATTAACTTATATTGTATTGTCAATGTCATTATTGTTTGATATCTTTGGCATGGTATATTTTTAATGGAGAACCCGTCAGGCTTTCGAGTTCGTACATATTGTTCCCAATTACTTTTCGTATTCGACATTTAGTAAACTTTTTGCAAAATTTTGCATTTATGTTATCTTTAAAGCTACTTAAAATAAAGTTTCTTTTAAAGACTTCTTATCCTGGAACAAAACGAGGTGCTCGAGTTGCACCTCGATTGAAACGTAACGCGCTCCGTTCGTATGCCTTGTGCATATTTTCCTTTATTTTGTCCCTAATTAACCTTAGTTTGTCCGATCTTTTCATTGTTATTTCATTATCGTCTAGAGCTTTAAGTTTTTTTGCCAATTTATAGTCTGAACCACATGTGAACATATTGTATCCATAAAGCGCAAAGAAAGGACTGATTCCGGTTGCAGTATGTACCGCTGTGCGTAATGCGATTTCAATGGACGGTAAGTTAACGTCCCAATCGCTATGGTCATTTGTCATATACGCTCTGATAGCCGATAATTCACTTTGGTTAACTCTCTCTGATGCATTCAATTGAGGAGCATGAACTGCAGTCCTCATGTGATTAATTTCGTATAATTGTATCATTTTTTTGAATTCTTTCGATACAAATTGTTGTCCATTGTCGGAGTGAATGATTTCCGGGACACCGAATTCGTGAAAAACATTTTCAACGAGAAATTTAATCACATTAGATGCCGTGGCCTCCTTCATCGCTTTTAAGAATACGAATTTCGTCATGTGATCCATGACTATAAAAATATATGTATTTCCTTTTTTTGAGCGAGGATATTTCCCAAGGAAATCTATATATAGTTTCTGAAATGGTCTTAATGTCACCACTTCAGCACCTATTTCCGGCATTAGATTCCTATTTACCGATTTAGTTTCCTTACATATTATGCAATTTTGTACGTAATTCCTAACTTGAATTAGCATATTAGGCCAATAATATTTATTTCGGAGATGAGAAAGTGTTTTGTTTATTCCACCATGAGCTTTATTTGCCGGATTATGGGCTTCATTTATCAATATTTCAGTAAGACTACTGGGAACCCATAACTTCCACTTAAATTCTTCTAAATCTTCCATTTCGGAACTTAATTTATTTCTTTTATACACTATTCCGTTTACAACTTTTATATCTGGCAATTTTTCTTGGTTTTTTGTTATGGTTTCGACTAATTCTTTATATTCTCCTGACTCAAATTCTATTGTTTCGAATCCTAATATATTTCCTACATCCAATTCTATTTCCTCCACTAGTCTTGACAATGTGTCTGCAACTACATTTTCCGAACCCTTTCGATGTTCGATTTCGAAATCGAATGATTGTAGTTTTAATGCCCATCTTGCCAATCTTCCGTCCAGATCTTTTAAGGACATAATCCACTTCAGGCTTGCGTGGTCTGTTATGACCGTGAATGGCATCAGTTCATCATACGGTCGGAATCTTTTTATCGCCATTACAGCCGCTAAACACTCTTTCTCCGTCACGCTGTACTTTCTTTGTGCCTGATTAAGTTTTTGAGAATAGAAGGCGATTGGTCTCTCATTGTCCTCATCATCTTTCTGGAACAGAACAGCACCTATTCCATAGCTAGAGGCATCACATTGAATGTAGAACCTTTTTCTAAAGTTCGGATGAGCCAGTACTGGAGCTGTTGTTAATGCCTGTTTCAGTTGATTAAAACTTGTAATAGCTTCTTCGGTAACAGTGAATTTGGTTCCCTTTTTGATTAGATCTGTGAGCGGTGCGGTCAAGGATGAAAAGTTTTTTATAAAGCGACGATACCATCCCGCTGTTCCCAAGAAACTTCTGACTTCCCTCACTAATTTTGGCAATGGTATCGTTCTAATGGCTTCAATTTTTCTGGGGTCTGTTTTCATACATCCGTTTCCTATAATAAAACCCAAATATGGTAGTTCTTTAAAGCAAAATTTTGATTTCCCAATTCCTATAGTCAGATTCGCTTTTCTTAGGCAATCTGCAACTTTGCTCAATAGTTTTAAGTGGCTTTCAAAAGTCGATGATATAACAAGCAAATCGTCCAGATATATAAACACGTTTGCTTTCAATTATTGTGGGATGACTTTGTCCATAAGCCTGCAAAGTCCTTGGGCCGCATTGCATAATCCAAAGGGCATCACCACGTATTGGTATAGGGGTCTTCCGGGAATTGTAAAAGCAGTGTAAGCTCGAGATTTTTCTTCCAATTCTATTTGCCAGAAGGCGTATTTAAGGTCTACACTGCTTATGAAGAATGTTTCTTCCAATCTGCTCAAAATTCCTTCAATATTTTGGATAGGATACGCATCTTTCACAGTCCTCTCGTTTAATTTCCTCGCGTCCAAACACAGGTGATTCTTTTCAGGTTTCCTAACTAGTGTACAACGATTATTCCATGGACTTTTGCTTTCTTCTATTACTCCTAGTTCTAGCATTTTGTCCACTTCTTTATATATAAGTTCCTGAACCGCGGGAGATACTGGGTAGTGTCTATCCTTAATTGGTTCAGTCCCATCTTTTAATTCTATGGTATGAAGTTCAAGGTTTGTGCGTCCTAATCCATCCTTTTCAAATGTTCTAAATAATTGTTTTACTTTATCTAATTTCACTTTTTGGTCCATGGTAAGGCTGTGCTCTTCTACATTATTTAAGTCTAGAGGGAATTTTTCCGATAGATTCTCTGGATTCATTTCATCTATTTCAAAAATATCCGGTGCTATATTAAATTTCTTCCAAAAGTCTATTCCTAAATATAGTTTCCTAGCAAGTTCAGGACATACATAAAAATCTATTGTTTCTTTTCTGTTTTTATAAGCTACTCTAATACTAACTCTACCTAAAATGTCATATCCTTTTCCTCCGGCCGTGAAAACTTTTGTTAATATTGGCTCTAATTCAGCTCCTATGTTCTCAATTAACTCTAATGCATCCTTTCCTAATAAACTAATTGATGCTCCACTGTCCAAAAGTCCAAATATTTCTAATTCACCTATTTTAATTTTCGCAAATGCCCTGGGATCAGTTTGTCTTTTTTCTATTTCGCTACAAATTTTTACTGAGTCACTTAGATTCCTATATATTAGCTTTTTTCGTTTAAATCTATCTCTATCCTTTCTTAATCGGATGCGATTCTTAATCTAGCACGAAGTTTTCTCATTGTTTGGAAATAATCATCGATGGACTCTCCAGCTTTCTGTCGCCTTTCTTCAAAATCGCGCATTAGTTCGTATTCGCTACGATTTGAACTATATTGTACTCTCAATGCTTTTTTCATTTCTTCCCAAGATTCCACTGATTTGTACCACTAGCCAGTACCAGTCTTTGGCATCTCCTTTGAGTAGTCTATGAAACTCTCCCTGTATATCATTCCAAGAACAACGGTGGTATTTCATTAAATATTCTAACCGGAATATAAAATCTTCAATGTATTTCCGTCGAAACTAATATTCCATTTATCTATTCGGAATAAGGCACTATTCTGATGATTTCCATGATTTATGTGTATATCTTGAGTTCCATTTCTAACTATATTCTCGTTCTGTAAATTCACTGACTCGTTTGAATTATTTATATATATATTATCAAAATCTAATTTTCTTTGTGCTTCATTATTTACGATATTTCTTCTCTTTTCAGGTGCTCGAGTAATATCCTCCAACTGTACATCCTCCTCGCTAGTTAGTGAATTCCCTCCATCTGACCGCTTTTCGGAAATACAAACTTTTCTAATTTCCTTTAACATTTGAGAAAATCCACTTTGCAAACTCTTCTGGATGCGATCATCTAACCTACTTTCCAGTTCATTCCTATTAATTAATGTTGCATAAGCCCTAGGACTTTGACCGATTGATATACCTCTAGGAATTGCAGGTGGTGGAATATTGGCATCGAAGCCTGGTAAAGGATTTACTCTTTTCAGTATGGTACCCGTTGGATTTTGATTTGGAATTGGTGGTCGCGCTGTTGGTACGTTTATTGATCCTGAAATATCAATGATGTTATCTAACAACCTACTTTCTTCCCTAGGTGGAGTTCTCTGTATCGGCATTTTTATTGTTCTTAATTATTCATATATATCTGTGATACTCAAATTAAATAGTGCTGAAAACAACTTATAATCAAAATAACTAACGCTTTAAATTTTAAACAATTAACGTAATACAACATAAACTACTTATACAATTAAACCTATAGTTAAAACATAAAACATAACTTAAACTAGAGACATACATATACTAAAAACATAAAATCTCTAAAACAATATTAATATATAGATTAAAATACAAACAAATAAGAACATAAAACATACAAATAGACACTAATATAAATATTAAAACGTACAAATAAATAACATCAAACCTATAAGAAGACACTAATATAAACACTAAACAAATAAAAACATAAAACATATAAATTCACAATACCAAATATTCTGTTTCTTTACTACAATAACTATACGATGAAGGTTTTTGGTACAGTGGGTATTTCCGATCATTGGATATTTTATTGGTGAGTATCATTAATAATTTATATATTTTCTGACGCATTCTAATTTTGGTGTTATATTCCCTAACTAGATCAACGATTTCATCTAACAACTACTCCAATTGCAAACTAGTTATAATTTGAATAACTAGGACAATTAAATTTGTATTATTCAAAACTTTTCTCAAATTAATTTAATACTACTATTGCCTCCTGTTTTCCGCCAATTAAAAATTGCAAACTAACATCATAACACGTATTAGGACGAACTTTTATCCATGGACGAAAAGAAAACTTATGTAACATGCAACTAATATACTTAAAACATTAGGACGGTTACAAAATCGTTATTAACATTTCAAATAATTCCTACTTTTTCTACTATTGGCTCCTAATATCCGTCTATTTAAGCACGCAAACTAACATAAAAAGAATGTATTAGGACGAACTTTTGTTTTGCACGGAAGTAACACGTATGAAACACACAAACTAACATAATCAAAACATTAGGACGGTTACAAAGTGTTTTAATACTCAAATTAATTCCTTGTTTTTCTACCATTGGGCGCCATTTATTGTTACGAAACCCTTTTCTCCTCTTGGGTGTGTTGCCACCTCGACTAGCTCATTTGAGGCGTGGATTCCCAACCCGCAGACACACACTGGTTCGCATCAACAAAAAAATCTAAATCCTAAACACAACCTAAACAAAACAATACTATAACCTTAATATAACACCGAAATAAACATGGGTAAAAGATGTCCTTCCCATTACGCCACCCTCCCGACCTTGGTCATCTTCTTCCAATCTTAAATGACCCCTTTTTTACTACATCAGGTACTCACCCAGCTCATTATCCAAGACGGCCCACTGTACCTAACCTTCTTCTTCAATTTACCAACACATAATGTTCATTTCTTTTCTAAACAAATTTATTACAAATATACTAAACATAAACAAAATAAATAACTTATTAACTAATAAGTGGCTTAATATTTTAACAACAATTATCAATTTATCATTATCTATTTTGGGTTTAAAAAAAATTTACAAATATATTATTCTTTATATTCACTTCCTCTGAAGTTTTAATCTCATTTCCGTTTCTTATCTTTTTTTATGCGAAAGCAAACATTTAAGTTGCCATAAACTTTTCCTTTTCATTAATTCTTCTGAATTTCATCAATATCTATCTGAATGGTTTTCTATAACCTTAATTTTCCATACTCCAGGGTTAAAAAAAAAAAAAATCAACAATTATTTATAATTCCCTGGAAGAATTCAAATATTATTGTCTCTTTTTTTATACAAAGTTTTTAATCTTCTTTTCTATTTATATATTTTTTATCAAATCTCTATTTTGTAATTTTAAAACTAATCTTATGCTAAAACTTATCTATTAACATAAATCAAAATCACACACAATTTGACAAATTACTAAGGACCAGCTAATATCTTAGGTTTGGAGCCCTAAATCTGCTCCGACTTTAAATCTAAGATAAAATTTCCCAGCTATTCCCTGAAAGAGCTCTCTAAAGGATTTAAGGAATTTATCTATTTCTATACCCTTTACGGTTTTTTAAACTATATTTACCAATTTTCTACTAGTTCGATCCTTTTACAATTAACGAATATACCTTAACAGGAAACTAAAACAATTATTTTATTAAACTAATTAGCCTATATAACTTAATACTACCCTAATGCCACTTTACTATAATTTGATTTTATTATTGTCTTTTTAACAGGTTTAAATCTTGGATGCTATAATTTATATATTTTGGTACTGTATTAATTCTATTGTGTAGTGGAGTATATTAAAGTTTCAGTTTTCCCTTCAAAGATGGCCCTCTGGCGGTTTTTTTATAATTTATCCTGGACACACTAATTGACCGTAATTAAGTTTTCATTTTTGAAATATAGATGACACTGATGAACTTAAATTCGTCTTGGACAATATTTAATAAATGTAATCAAGTTTTTCTGTTTTTGACACATAGGTGTCCCTGATGATCCTAATCTTTTTGTTTCGTGACTTCATCGACAAACACTGCTTATTGTCTTATATCCACTGTGTTACCTGATTTTAAGTTGTTTGTTACCAGTTTTTATTCTTTTAAATAAGATTCTTCCAATATGACTCAAATGATAACCAAATCCCTTCAGGCTTGTAAGGATTCCTTGGGGCTTCTTATTGTCCTTTGGGCTTCTTATAGTCCTTTGGAACGTCTCGGCCACAGTTCCCATTCACTTCACTAGGCTCAACTTTCTTGTCTTATACATTTGTTCAAACTTTCTTTTTATTCTATATCTTTTTGTTTCTTTATTTTATTAACGTTTTATTAACTTTCAGTTTTACGCTTCCTTTATTGTCAACCGCCAAATCTCGACTACCTTTAACTTTTCTTTTTTAAGTTTTCAAAATTAACTTCTTTTAACACAAAACCTAACTGAAAAACTCTACTAACAAAACTAATTAAAAACAAGTAAGAAATTATAGTCGGGCGTGGCCGACCATATGATACCCTACACCAGTTATGAATATTAAATGTGATTTATTTTTCATAATAAAGCATTTATCTTCAATATTCCCTTGTTCCGATACATTTAAGCAATTTATGGATGAAAAACTAATTTTCTGAAAGAGGCTTTATATGGGGGCTAGGGGCAAATATGGACCAAGCCCGATAAAATTTTGTGAATATATTTATATTGACATAATATTTTATTGTGCTGAATTTCATCGCGATATTTGTGTTTATAAGCTAATTTGGGACATTCAAGTAATTTTCTGAAGGGGACTTTGTATGGGAGCTAGGGTCAAATGTGGCCCGATCTTTATGAAATTTGGCAGGGTCATCAAGACTTCTATAAAACTTAGTTGTGCCGTATTTTATCGATATATCTGTATATTTAACATAATTATGAGCTCAGAAGCCCTTTTCGGGGGGTTCTGTTGTATGGGGGCTAGGTGAAATAATGGACCGATTTTAACCATTTTCAATAGGCTTCGTCCTTAGGTCAAATAAAACGTGCGTGCCAAATTTCATCCAATTATCTTGAAAATTGCGACCTGTACCTTGCGCACAAGGTTTACATGGACAGCCAGCCAGCCAACCAGACGGACGGACGGACATAGCTTAATCGACTCAGAAAACGATTCTAAGCCGATTGGTATACTTTAAGGTGGGTCTAGGACGAATATTTTTGTATGTTACAAACATCAGCACAAATCCAATATACCCTCCCCACTAAAGTGGTGTAGGGTATAAAAATCGTTACCCTAACTGCAATTTAAACAAACAAAAAACTGTGCAAAAAAATACTTGTTTAATAAGACCTATTTCTAAAACAATAAAGAAATGTACATACATTACAACTAAATTGCTGTATTAACGTTAAGGTTCAACGTACTTTCCTATCCGACACATATAAGAAAAACTTTCGTGAATTTTAAAGAGAAATTTTCACGAATTTTCAATTAATTTTCTCTTTAATGCTGGAAACCCTGTTTTTGTTGTTGTCGTATTAAACCATACTGTCATCACATGCAACAATGCATTATCCCACGATCCACATTTTGACGTTTCTATTTTGACAACTAAATACCTATGATCACAAACATTAAATCAGACAACATAAACAAAACAATCAACTAAAACAATATAAATTATAAATTCAAATTTATTTTAATTATTTAATAAACAATCCTCGAACAAAACCAAGACAAGTGATAATTAAAACAAACTACAATAAAAAAAAGCATGCAACAGTGCAATAAAACAATACTACAATCAGCATTCAGAAATAACAACAAAACAAACTCCCCGGAAGAAACCGTGTATTGTCCACGAACCACCAACCAGATGCGATACCAAGACTATCCTCCTGAAAACTTCATACATCAAATCAATCTCAACAAAAATTACATAGAAATTAAAAACATCAAATGGAGAGACGATATGCAGTATTTGTTTGAATTGATCCAAGCTTTCAAATACTTTGAAAAAAAATAACTATTTTCCATATATTAAATTTAAAGCTATTCCACCACTTAGTAATGCTCGTTGGAACTCCAGAGCAATTCTTGCAATTTTATCTTTTGTACTGATTCCCAAATATCAACACGAATTATAAACGAATTAATATCTTTATTTTTTAAATATTTGTTAAATTAAATATTGTGTTAAATTAAATATTGTGTTAATTTTTTAAGTAGTTATTTTGTTATCTTACAAAAAACATTACTAAAATACTTTAAATTACATATTTGTTCACCAATAAGCTAGGTACTCTGTTCAAAATTTCGTACGAAATGCTTTCAAACAAACTTTCAAACAAGGCCGAAAAAATGAGAAAATTACAAAATCATTAAAAAATTATAAACAAAACAATAAATTTACTGCACAAGCGGTCAATAATATATTTTCATTCATTTTAAATAAAAGAAACACTGAATAGTTTATATTATTAAGATTTATTTTATTTTCAGCTTTCAAAAAACATATGGTTTTTGTTTACGTATTTAAAGTAATGATGCATACTTTATAGCAATAAAGCGACAAACTTTCCAAAATCGTGAGATAGACTACATTTGTTGCACATCAAATTTTTCGCATGAAAAAACCCTAATTTTTCGCAACTTTGAACAGAGTACCAGGCTTTAGCTGTAAGTTGTAGTAATTTATTTTTTTAAGAAATTATTTCATATTAAAAGCAATGTCGAAAAAATCCTTCAAATTACGTTTCGTGCCTGTTTTGCAACACTCTTTTCTTCTTTACCCCCTTTGCCT